GCAACAACAGTTATCCCACTTCCCCCTGCAGCTGGTTCCTCTTTCTTTACATTCCACCCACTTCTCCATCCTTTTTCAACTTTTTCCTTAGGAGTATATTGCCCTTTTGATTTTGAATGATTAACCATTCCATGGTGAGCATAACTCATTAATGTTGTTATCCCCTTGTCCCCCATAAACCTGTCTACTGCTTGGCTGAAAATTGGGCCACAAATGTTTTTTTTTTCCAGATCTGAAGGGTGGTTCTTCCAGTTTTTTTCTAATCAGTAAAGCCAGTTTGTTTGTTTTTTTGAGTTAGATTTTGAGTTTTGTTCCACCTTTTATCCCATTCTATCTAGAACCCTTTAATGTGATCCCTTTCAGTGTAGTAATTGGGTACCCTATAGTTCTTCTTGTCTCAGAGTCATTGAGACTGATGTTCACATGCTCCGTTAGTCCATTGTACTAATTGATTTCAAGCTTCCTCAATTGTTATTATGCTTCTTTCTTCTACAGCCACTCATGAACTTTCATGATCCCCGATGATATTCATCAAAGTAGGATATAGAACATTGTCTTGGTGGACTATGTTATTCCCATTGACTATAGCATCCCCTGAGACTATGGTCCTGAGCCCCAGACCCAGCAACTCACTGACTTAAGATGTTTGACAATATCTAGAAAGTTTTCATCATTTTGCCCATTTTATGCTTCACCACATTCATAGCTGTGTTTGCAGGAAAGGTAGGAATCTATCATGTACAAATACTCTCTTTCAAACTTGTATATTTATGGTATATATAAATATATATATCCCACTCTTTCTTTCTTATCCATTCAGCCTATGTCTCATTCCATGTATCTATACACAGAACACTGGTGATCCAGGGTTGTGTATATATCACTATTTACCTCTGTCCCCTTTAGCCCATGCATACTTCCTTGTGTCTTCACCTATCTTCATTTTTCTTCTGCAACTTTTCCTCTTCTTGTATATTGTCCTCCTCCTTCTTGTATAGTGCCATCCCGTCACCTGAGCTAACATGCATATCTACCCTTTAGTCAGTGAATTACTGGTTCAGTTTTTACAGTTTTCTCACTCTGCTTGTGGTTTGATAGTTTTCTTCAAGGGCTCCCTCTTCTTTACCCTCCTCTATTTTAGATGCCCTCCATACCTGCTTGGGCTGTGACACCCTGCTTTGGGCAAATACCTACCTCGTTCCTCCTCAACTAATGTCTTTAGAACTGAAATGATGAACTGGATTGTTTAAAATATGAGAAAATGCAAGCCTGGACACTTACATGGCTTGTCCAGTGGCACACAGCCAATCTGCGAGAGCTGTGTGTGTCTTGTTCACTATTTTATTCCCAACATATACTAAGTATTTATTGTATATTGAACAGAACAAATAAATGCATTATTCCTTGGTTATTTCTTTTCCTTTTATTCTTTGTCATATGGTGTGTGAGTGTGTGTGTGTCCATTTATATACATTTCTCCCTATCCATCTTATCTCCATTTGTATCTGTCTATGACTTCATTTAGAATCCTAGTGTGGTGCTGTGGCCTAATGTAGTGGACTGCAAAGTCAGTTTGAACTGCAGGATTGGTGGTTCAACCTTACCGGCTGCTCCTCAGAAACCCTATACAGCGTTGCTATGGGTTGGAACTGACTCGACAGCACTTAACAACAACAACAACATCTTAATTTACAAAATTGTCTATAATCAATAGTAATTCATGCTTTTATATATGCATCAACATCTGTATTTCTAAGATTATTGTGCCTGGAGGTTTTTCCATCCCATGAATGTATAGAGATCTGAGCTGGGTAGTTGGCAAGCATTCTAAGTCAAGTCTTATGAATGAAGAAATGGAGACACTAATAAGCAACAGCTATTGCAACATCCCAGGACTCCAGCACTTCCATTAAGTTTGGAGGGGGAAATAGATAAATATCACCAAAGCGAGTTTTCAAGAATTAGACCACATCTCCTTCAAAACATTTGGAATTCTACATGAGAAAAACATCATCATAATAAGGCAAACTCGTTCCCATTACCAATTTCTTTAGCTACACTGTTCAACTAAAATCATTCTGTAGATGATTATCCAGGACAGCATTTCCAAAGGATATTCTTAGGAACACTAACTCTGAGAGAATCATCTTAGAAAACGATTCTGTGGTCAAACAGAAATGCGTGCCTGGCGTTTCACAAAGCACATGAACATATTAAAGACTTTGAAGAAATTCTAGAGTAAAGAAAATTGTTTACCTTCATGTAACCTGTTGTTATTAGGTGCCATGGAGTTAGTACCAGACCATAGCGACCTTATACACAGCAGAACGAAACACTGCCCAGTTCCTGGGCCAACCTCACTACTGTTGCCACGTTTGAGTCCATCGATGCTGCCACTTGGCCAATCCATCTCGTTAGGGGTCTTCCTCTTTTTCTCTGACCCTCCACCTCACCAAACATGATATCCTTCCTTCTCCAGTGACTGGTCCCTCCTGACAATATGTCTGAAGTATGAGCGATGAAGTTTTAGTGCTGCCCAAATTTACGTAACCACATAATTCCTATTAAGAGTGGTTTGTTGTGCTCCACTGAGTTCGCTCCCACTTATAGTGACACTAACTTTTATGGGAGCAGAAAGCCTCATCGTTCTCCCTCAGTGCAACTAGTAGATTTGACCTGCTGATCTTGTGGTTAATAGCCCAGCTCATAATTCACTACGCTACCATGACTCCTCCTTCCTGTTATAAGTAATACCTACTTTATCCTCATTTTCTCAATAATGCAATGTTCTATTGACATGGAGCTACTGTCAAAAATAAATGAAATAAAGATAGGCAAAGCATGTAGTATAGTGCTTAGCATAATCTAGGTGTTTGGTAAGTGCTGGTTCCTTTTCTAAGATTCATAGTTTTTGAAAATTGTTACTTTTATATTGAAAAAGTATTAGTATTTATTATTGTAAATTGTTGTTGTTATGTGCCATGGAGTCAGTTCCGACTCATAGCGACACTACAGGGTTTCCAAGGCTGTAAATCTTTACGGGAGCAGAAAGCCTCGTCTTTCTCCTGTGGAACAGCTGGTAGTTTCAAACTGCTGACCCTGAGGTTCGCAGCCTGATTCGTAACCACTATGCTACCAGAGCTCCCTATTATCATCAATAAAACATGAAAAAGTGAAAAATTAAGATAACAAAGGGGACATTAAAATGAAAAGTGAGTTTCTCCATTTTCCCAAGAGAAGTGTTGTATGTACCTTTTCAGACATTTTCTGTATATTTGCATGCATGCATATCAAGTAAATGAGGTAATGAGTGAACCTTTGAGTGAACATTGAGTGAATCTCTAAATTATTCCTTTTTGTGTTGCTGTTGTTAAGTAGCATTGAATCAGTTCTGACTCATAGCGACCCCGTATAAGGTTTCTGAGGAGCAGCTGGTGGGTTTGAACTGCCAACCTTGTGGTACGCAGTCCAGTGCTGATCCTACAGTACCACACCAGGAGTCTGTTTTGTAGTACATCAGCATATTTTTCTGACACCCCAGTTAGGGTAAAGGTCAGAGGCTATGCTCATGCCACCCCACTCCCCAAAAACTACTTTTATGAAATAATTGCTGTAGAGAATTGAGAAAAAAATACAGTTGTTTGGGGATTCTTTAAATAGATTTTAAATAAACCTTTAAAAATGGTTTTAAGTATAAAATCTTTCTTTTGTAAGACCTTTCTTAGTACGCTCTGGAGGAATTAATGGTCAATTGATCTTTAGTTATTAAATTCCGTCATCCTTCATTATAACAAGCCCTGGGTGCAGTGTGTTTAGCATTGGACTGCTAACTAAAAGGTGGTTGTTGTTGTTAAGTCCATTAAGTTGGTTCTGACTCATCGTGACCCTGTGTAGTGTTTCCAAGGAGTCCAGTGCATATCCTACAGTGCCACACCAAGATGCCACTAACTGAAAGGTTCAAATCCACTAGTTGTTCTATAGGAAATAGATGTGGCCATCTACTTCTCTAAATAGCACAGACCTGGAAATCCTATGGGGAAGTTCTACTCTATCCTATAGGGTCATTGTGAATTGGAATTAATGTGATAGCTGAGGGTTGGGGGGCTGACTCATTAGTAGTTACTTTCTCATCCCTGAGAGAATTTAAAATCCTGACACATCAAAGGCATGGAGTACACATTTGATGATGAATCGAGGAAGGATTCCGTGTAGACCACAGCATCTGTTCTCTCTACCAGGAACAGAACTCTGATTGGGAAGGTGAATATCCTTTCTTTCTTTAAGTTGACGATGAGGAAGGGATGGTGAAAAAGTTGGTATTCTGGGCAGGAGAGGGTTCGAGTTGCAGCTGCAGTGACTCAGAGGGGTTGCAATTCTGGGCTTCATTGCTTTTCAAAATTCACCCATTACAGTAATGCCCAGGCAACCAACTAACTGCAGCTGTCGGGATGTGGGCTCCTTAAAGAGGAGCAAACTGTTTAATGTCTCATTAACAACCTACTTCATTTCTTTAAGGTGTTTCTAAGATCTGAAGTAGCTGCTGGTCTAACTCAGCTGAATCTTCCTAACACAACAACGCAAGGAGCAGAGTCATGGGGCCACTGGGCTCTACCGCTTTTCTCTCTCTTTTTTTTTCCTTATTTCCTTTTTTGTTCACTTCCTTCATATTCTTGCTTGTCTGGACATTTACCCTTTGCTCCTATTGGCTGTTCCCTCCCCCTTCTTCTTTATTGCTCTGAGTTATTGCAATTTTCCCATAACTCTAATCTCTCTTTTCACATTCTCATCTGGGGAAGGACGAGGAAATTGCAAGCAGAGTGTGAACCTAGAGCGAGGTGATTCAACCCTGTCTCCTGATCACCCCAAAGAACCCTAAAAATGAGGACATCTGCCTGATCAATGAACGGAGGCATTATTTTTTGAATAATATCTGGTTAAACCTCTTGACTCAAGAAGAAAAGAAGTTAGTTGTTTTTTTTTGTCTGTTGCTTGACTTCACCATGATTTCCTGTCGAGTCTGTAACCTCAGGGAGCTGGTCGCCATTGCCTGTGGACTAGTGACCACCATCGTTTTGGGGCTGGGCATTTGGAGGTCTGTGGTCAGGATCCAGAGAGGTAATGTTACTTTACGTTTAACTTTGCACAACAATGGAAGGTGTTGTGCCCCTTTCCCTGTGACCTACACACCAGTACTGGAAAATGCCTTGTCCAAGCTGAGGCTGCCCACCAAGATGCCATTTATTTAATATAAAAGTCAAGAGTCTTTGTTGGGTGGTATATGGCTCTGCCATATATAAACACAAATGTGTGAATGAGCAAGATGGAGAATGTTATATGTGAGTTGGCCTCTTTATGCTCTTTTAACTCCTGATAGACTTAATCACAGAGTAATAATTAGAATAATAATATAGGTTTGGGTTTATTTAACCAGACCCTAAAAGGATAGTGACACACACACACACACACGTACACTGACCATCAAACACCTGCGGAATAGAATTCTATCTCAAGAAAGAACTTAGATATGTTATGCCTAGAGTTGTAAATAAAATGTTTATGGTACTCACATAAAACTTTCAGTTTGTAGAAAACTAGTAAAAAATTGATCTCCCTTAAAAAATTGTTCTCCTGGCCATTCAGTAACTATTTATAAAACACCTGTTGTACTCTGGAACTGGCCCTGGATTAAGGGAAATGGTGTGTAAAACAAGGATGTTAAATACGGCTCTCCCTCAGGATCTCACAGCACAGACTTTCAATAGTCCTAATAGTGGTTTGCTTGGGCTATTCAGGGTTTTGATAAAGAAACAAACTCAAAGGTAGGTGACTGAACAGTCTCTTTTGTAAAAACAAAAAACATAAAGTATCTGATGAAACTGAATGAATAAGGGTAAAGAATGCCCATCAAGAGAGGGCAGTGGGGAAGTCTGTGGGGACAGTCGTGTGGGAGCTAGCAAGAGGAATGCATGCTGCAAAGATCCACAGGTGGGGACAAAACAGGTCAAATATATTGGTTATTGATGGAGTAGTAGCTGGTAAGGACTGTCTTTTTTCAAAGAACAGTATTTAGAGAATATTGTATTAACCGTAGGAGTCCCTGGGTGTTGTAAACAATTAATGAGCTTGGCTGTTGGCCAAAAGATTGGAGGGTTTGAATCTACACAGATGTACCTCAGAAGAAAGGTTTGGTGATCTACTTTCAAAAAAATCACCCAGTGACACCCCCCCCCGTGAAGCACAGTTCTACTCTGCCGTATATTATATGGGATTGTCATGAGTTGGAACTGATTTGAAGGCCAACTGTCTTTTATTTAGTTTCTGTGTGTCTTTTTTTTTTTTTTTTACTATTAATAGTATTAAAAAACAGCATGAGAAAAATTTCCAGAACTAAAACAAATATAATGTAAACATGGGAAAAATATTTTTGTTTGGTTTTACAATATTCAAGGCTTGTAAAATAGTTTGAGGTTTAAAAACAGTTACGAACTATAGATATGAATATATTACAACTGGTAACCAGTTACTGTGGATTTGAGTCCTGCTCATGGTGACTCCATGTGTGTCTGAGTAGAATCGTGCTGCATAGGGTTTCAGTGGCAGACTGTTTGGAAGTAAATAGTTTGAACCACCCACCCTGTCATTCAAACTGACCTTGTGGTCCTGCACTTATCCTACAACACCACAGCAGGATTCCATTATATATAT